CCACAGGCTGTTATTCTTGAAAATCCTCACCTCTGATTTCCTCTGGCTCCCAGTCAAGGTCAAATTTGAACAGGGCATCCTGGTGCCAGTTTTCATCAGCCAGAGATTGCAGAGTCTGCCAACAGCATCCCCACTGTAGCATCTTCAAATTGCTGTCAGGACATAACTTGCCCCACAGACATGATTTGGTAGAAGGCAGAGAGTTTGTGGTCAATGCGTCATTTCGGGGTCTGAGGGGTTGAAAGTTTTAAAGACCAACCATTGGCATGCCTCCTCCAAGAATGAGTGAATTATTAGCAGTCAGACAGGTCTGTACTTTTATTCCTTTCATACCCTTTCTGCTCCTTTTTAATCTCCAGGACAAATTGACGTGGACTCCAGGGGAAGATAAGGGTATCTACGTGTACCCCTGCCCTCCCACTCATGCCCATAACCCTCCCCCTCCTCCTTGGCAAAGGTAGACCCAGCCTGAGTACCTCCCTCAGCTGTTTACTTAGGAAGATGCAACAATGGCTGATTATTAAGACTTGACGCCAAAGAAAATTCTTTCTATATATTTTATTTACAGTGTGGGTGTTGGTTGTTTCTACAGGCTGTTCGAACACCGCTAGTCTAGTTGACACAGAGTTGCTACTCCAAGATTTTATAGTCCCCACGTCTAACTTTGTTGGAATGGATATTATTACCCAACAATAAAGTGCTGCTTTATCTATCCTAAGACTCCGCTATCAACCAACTGGCATCTAGGAGGGAAGAATATGTGAATGGCACCCCTGTCAAGATGGAAATTTCTGACAACTCTCCCACAATGAATCTAAAAACACAGAAGCAGAGACCATTCGAGCAAAAAAGACCAAACAAGCACAGGACAAGTTAAGTGCACATTCAAATGCTTAAATTTTAACTATACGGGAAGCACCTTGCCTTTGCTAGGTGTCTTACCTCTCCCCACCAGAGCTTTTAACAAAGAACCGATATACAGCTCCTTCTTCCTAGGACTAAAAGTCACACAGTAACTAAAATAAATTCCAGGTTCTCAGCTCAAGGTACATCAGATACAATATAATAGGTTAGCCCCACGATTTGAATGACAGTTGCCTTCTGCCTGCTAATAGTGTACTTAATAGGTTGGTACTGTGTAAGTCTTTATGTTACATAGTTATTCGTGGCTCAACTGCATCATTATGTGATTTCATATTTATGTGATAGAAAAACCATTAATAATATGCACATTCATTAAACCCAAGAAGTGCATGAAACACAGTAGATGTGAAGGTTCCTTCATCAAATCGAGTTATTTGTTTCGGGTTCACCGTAGATCAGAGACCTCAGTTGCCTTGGAGAAGGGCTTTTCCATGTAGTTTGGTTTCTCGGGAAGCAGAGGCATGTTGACTGTTTACATTTCTGAAATGGAAAACCACCGCATCGGGCAAGCCCATGGGGTGACTGCGATGAACCCTGATAAATGCAAGGAGTGCCTGAGATCAGCAGCTGTAGACTCGCTGCTGTCAGGGATACATCACCCACATGGAATACGGAGGTACCCCGGCTAAAGCAGCAGTCAGAATCGCAAATGCCTACCAGCAGGTTCCATACAGGCACACATCTGGCCTGATTAAGATAACAGGGGTTGTTCAGGTTGGTGGCAGAGCAGAGAAACCACCCGAGGGCATTCAGCTCCATCCGGGCGTTGCTGTGAGGAAATACAGATTCAGTACTTTTACATTTCCCTTTTCAAGAGAAGTCAGAGATCTGGAGCACTATACAAAATCTTAACCTGGAGTTTTGACACTACTCACCGCGGGGCCCGTCAGTGTGTGACTTCTGCCCTAGATAGACGACGTTTACGTCCCCTCTCAAATCTGGGTCATCCTTCTATCCCCGGAAGAACCCAGCAGTGCTCCGTGGACACCTTCGGGGGGAACTAGCCAGCCTCCATGGAGCCTGTATCACACTCTCCACTCATCCTTCCCCTCTGACTTCCACACAACTTTACAGGTAGTCCCTGCTGTCCTCAGCATTGGCAGATGAGTAGGCTAAGATTTCAAGAAATGAGGTCACAGGCCCAGGTTCATGCTGCTTCAAAGTGGCAGACGCAATCCTTGAACCCGGTCCTTCAGATTTTATCTCCTAAGCCCTGGCCGGATGCCCCCGGACACTCCCTCGTCACTCCGCATAGACCCCCGTGGTAGCATTCGGCTCTCTGCATCGTAATGTCGTTTCCTTCTGCCTCCTGAACCTAACTGAAAAATACGGCTTTGAGACAGATAGACACATGAGCAAATATAATCAACGCCACACTGGACATGAACCCGGTGACGAGGAGAGCCTCTCCCAGCGCTGAGGATGCTGGGTAATTTCTGCTGTGGCTGTCAATAATGTGATCTACCTGCAGTGAAATAGCATGTTGCTTCAAGGAGGGCAGGGTGCGTGGGGTATCACGTACTCTTTCACCTTCCTCCCGTCTTCTTTGTCTGCCACCCCCGTGAAACTCTTGGCCTTCTCTTTGGGAGAGGTGCAAAGAGAGCTTGACTCTTCCAGGTGCTGGAAACTGCACCCTCGTTTTATTGGGAATATGCCACGTCGGAGCTTGCTCCCCTCATCCCCCCAGATGTATCATCAGCAGGAAGGCAGCCTCAGGAACCTCGCCCACATAGAGCCCGGATGGACAAAGGGGCCACACAGGCTGGGGTAGGCAGGGCAACCTCAGCTCGGGGTGAATAGACAGGAAGCAGGCGGGTTTCGGCGTCTCGTCTCGTGAATTACATCCCTCACACAGCCTCTTTGTACTTTGGGTGAGTGTGTGGTCTGGAGAGTGGGTGCCAGGGGCAGAAGGAGATGGAAAGTTAGGGCTCGGGGCTCGGGAGGGGGGTTCTCACTTGTACACTGATTCATCTCGTCTTCCCGAGGCAAGTTTCATAATTATCTGCCTAATGGAGAATAATGACGCCACTTGGATGGCAGTGGGGAGAGGGAAAGAGAGGCATGGGAATGTGTTAACCGTGTGGACGGGGCTTGGACAGCATCTCTGAGGGATCATTATTGCATCACTTCACCCCCTTCTCTCCCCTCTTTCCATTAATACGAAACAAATGCTAAATAACTACATAATAATACATTACTAGACAGAAAATATAATAGCCTGCTATGGCTACGAAACTCCTTCAAAGATGTATTTAAAATGTCGCTGGTACATAATGTAAAATACGAATTACAGGTTCATTTGGAGGACGGGGCTTAAAATTTATACAATTGCATAGTGGCATTTCCCAGTGGGTTTTAGTTTTAGTTGCCTTTCTCTGAACACCAAAAAAAAAAAAAGGTCCCTGAGTAATTTCAGCCCAGAAATGCAAACTTGAAGGGACCACTTTCCTCTGTATTTTTCTTTCTTGTTTCCATTGGTCACGATACTCTCCAAACCCAGTATCTTCCTGACACGTTGTCTTTTCCTCGGAATGAGTCTGCAGGCGCGGAAGGTAGATTACACCTTTTGGAGATGTAGCCCAGCCACATAAGGATACAAGTAGTTGAAATGTGTGTCCAATTGCTGGTTTAAATGACTTGAGCCAACTTCTTAAAGCCAGGACAGCAGGAGCTGAGGATTTCGAAAGTTGGCAGGGGCCAAAAATGACAAGGCTCGGCAGTTACCTGGTGAGCTGCCAACCCTGTCTGGAGGCTTCAAAAAAATAAACTTTCTCAAAAGACACAAATCAAAAGTCATGTTTCTGCGGCCATTAAAACCAAATTACAGGCTTACACTGCAAAGTGAACTACTTCCATTTTCATTATGCTTAAAATATTTCATTGTGTGGATTGAGAACGGGTTGCTAGGAAGACCCTGGGGGGAGTTGTCAGTTGTCGTACGTGGTCGTATGTACAAGGAAATGCACACAGAGGTGTCGTCTCCCTTGTGTGTTTCCGTCAAGGGTAGAGGATTTCAAGATGGGAAAACAGGATACAGTTGGAGTCAAGGTCATGGCTTGAAAACATCAACCCTGACCTTCTCCAGATACAGTCTCGGGGTTCACCTCTCAGAGGAGAGCCATTATCAACCCACTGATTTGAGTGGGCTCACAGGTGTGTTTATGTCAACTCATTAAAAATAAAAAATGTATAACATATATGTGTATGTATAGGTGCGCATGCAGAAATGCATACACCTATTTTTAAATTCTTTTTTCTTTATTGATTTTAGAGAGAGAGTAAGGGAGAAAGAGAAACATCGAGGAGAGAGAACATCGATGGGCTGCCTCCTCCATGCCCCTCACTGGGCATGTGCCCTGAGTGGGAATTGAACCAGCAACCTCTTGATGCATGGGGTCAACACTCAACCACTGAGCCATACTGGCCACTGAGCCATACATTTTTTTTTCACTAATCGTCAACATTTTTTTAAATGGGAACATTTTACCTAAAAGTCCAGGTCTTTAAGCCCTAATTCTCACAAGGCCACGTGGGCCTGAACTTGAGTGAGGGCTGCCCATCCTCCCTAGTTCACCTGAGTCCAACTACAGGCCATTTCCTCTCCTGCCTGACCCCTGCAGGTGTTCAGATGTGCTGCTCCGCAGCTTGGAGTGTACCCCATCCTTACTGTCTTTAGAAAAAGGAAGTTGTTTCATGGAATGTGTGCGGTGTACTGGTCTACCAGGATATGGACCAGGGGCTTGTTACAGGAATGATCAGCCTTGAATGTTAGGTGACTTTCACTGAAGGATTAATGTTTCCAATAATCTCACTGGTCAGCCTACACCGCCTGCTGCGGCTAACCTGGTGCCTCCTGCATTTGGCGCCTACGGAAGAAGGCAAAGGACAGCAGGTTACCAGTAGTAACTGAGATGCTTTATGGGTCTTCGGCCTCTCGAGTTTGCAACTTTCAGCATCTGCCAACACAGAGGCTGGTTCTGGGCGCACCTCCCCGGGCTGGCGGAGTGTCCGGCTGTGATCCGTCACCACTGATGGTCCTCTCTCCTTTCTCTTTTCCCAGGCCCTCCAAACCACAGCCAGTCGACTCTGAGGCCACCTCTGCCACCCCCGCACAACCACACACTGTCCCATCACCACTCGTCCGCCAACTCCCTCAACCGGAACTCGCTAACCAATCGGCGGAGTCAGATCCACGCCCCGGCCCCTGCGCCCAATGACCTGGCCACCACGCCCGAGTCTGTCCAGCTTCAGGACAGCTGGGTGCTCAACAGCAACGTGCCGCTGGAGACCCGGTAAGTCCCATGGCTGACCGCACCTGTATCCCTGCCCCAGACACCCCCACAGAGCCCCGGGGTGGCTCGGCCTTGCGGTGGAGGAGGAAATCTTGGCATAAACAACGGGACGGTCTGCCCCCACCTTGCCACTCCTGGGGGAATTTGACCCTGGATGGTAGGCTGATGGGTATTTCTCTGTTCACACGTGTCTCCTCTCAATGCTTGTTTACTCTCTTAGACAGCTTTTGTGTACCCAACTAATAGAATTAGCATAACATATTTTTACTCAGAGGCTCATGGGAAACATGCTTATACGGATATATTGACTGAGAGCTGCTGATAAATTATGCATGTGGCCTTTCTTGAAGTAATAAATGAAGACTCATTTGAAATTAAGTGTTTGGGGAGACCTTGAGAAACAAGCCCTGATTCCAGACCGACGGAAGTATGATTTTAATTTATATTTCCTCCAGCAGGCGGTCTCGCTTTAATCCCTCCCGTGCACACCGGCGGCCCAGTGCCTGCGGGGCAGACAGTGATGTGTAAAAGCAAACAGAGGTTTCAAAGTGATCTTCAGGCCCGCCTTTGTCTGGTGTTGCCCTTGCTTCTGTCTTCCAACCCCGTGCCCACCTGCATGGCCTGCAAGAAGACGCACCGGCTGCAGGGGCGGCCGGGGTGCAGTTAACTGCGGAGGCCACACGCGGGTGGGCCAGGCGTCGGAAGTGCTTGGTGCTGCACCCCAGACACCTTCATGGTTTCTGCGCTCCAGTCCACGGGTTCCTTGTCCGGGGGAGCCAGAGACCCTGATCGGGGAACGGGGCTGATGCCTGTGAACCCTTCCCACAGTCCTCACGCACTTTTTCAACTTTTTTTTTTTTTTTAGTTTAACATTCACGTTAACGAGGGCTCCTGTATTATTTGTCTTAATTGCAAAAATATGTTAGGCATATTTAGGAAAAAATAGCCCTGGCCGGTTTGGCTCAGTGGTTGGAGTGTCAGCCTGCGGACCAGAGAGGCCCAGGTTTGGGTTCGATTCCCGCGAGGGGCACGTACCAAAAAAAAAAAAAAGAATGCTAGAAAAAAATAAACTTACGGAGAATGTAACTGTGCATTTTTAAAGGCCAGATGAAAGAATACTAGTTCTTTTCCTTGGAAGTACTTAGGCGTAAGGAAAGACAGACATAATCTGTAATTTTTTTTTTTTTTTTGGTAATGGCCAGTGAATTTTCTGCACTGAGCTGAAATCAATTTTGCAAGCCATAGATTTTCATGTCGTTCCTTTGATTTTTGCTTGTTTGTTTTGTTTTACGTCAACATTGTCACCTTTAACGGGAAAGGTCCCTTTTGTAGTTGAGGTGTAGCGTTGACATAGTGTATTGGTTTCAGGTGCACAGCATAATGATTTGCTACCCGCCTACATCGTGAACTGGCGGCTGCACTAAGTCTAGTTAATGTTGGCCTCCATCACGTAGTTATAAAAAATGTGTTCTTACGATGAGAACTTTTCAGTTCCGCGTTCTTGGCAATGTTCGGATCTGCAGGACTGGGTGTTTCTGCCTCTATCCTCCCTCTATTCGTTCCTCCCCCCTCCACGCCCCACCCCCGGCAACCACCAGCCTGTTCTCTGTCTCTGTGCATTCGATTTGGCCTGTGTTTGTTTAAGATTTCACATATACGGGAGGGCATGCAGTATTTATCTTTCTCTGTCTGACTTACTTCAATTAACATAACGCCCTCAAGATCTAAGCACATTGTCACACATGACAAGATTTTATTCGTCTTCATGGCTGAAGAGTATATTGTGTCTTATCTATAACATTTTTTGTTTTAATAAGATCGTGAGCATTAATAAGTTGTTCTCCATTGTCACTGGAGTCAATCCAGACTTTAATATGTTTAATTTTCTGACGATTGCAGATTATTTCTAACCATGTCTATGGTCTTAATCACTAAGGCTTAAAAGATGGGAAGTCAACAGAAACTAGGCATTTATTGTATATAACCAGTGTACGTAAATACCTGAACTGACCTGGTAACCCATAATAAACAGCTTTGCTGGACAGTTTCTAGGCTGAAAGCTGACTTATCCAGCAGGCTGGACTCAAGGTATTTCGATGGTGGTCTTTAAGGCTGGAGAAGACTTTGTCTTTTCCTCCTTATATTTAGGAACTGCCATGGAATTTGTTGGACACGAGTCGGCCTGTTTTTACATTAACAGACTAGGTTCGGGAAACAAAGGCCACCCAGAGTGGACTAGATGAAGAAGGGGGTAGCAGAAAACAGGTGCATAGGAAGGGAGAGGCCGCCGGCCCATCCCCGATGAACCATGTTTATTGTGCACTTGGCATGTGCCCGATCCAGGGCTTTGCATGCCTCCCTTAGTCCAGCCTGACAGCCACCCAGTGAGGTCAGGAGGAACCATTATTATCACCGTTTTAAATACACAGAATCGAGATGTGTCAGCGGCAAAGTCACTTGTAGGAGGTCTTGGACTTCGGGGAGATGGTAGATTACGAGCCACAGTGGATGGACCTCTGATGCTTCCACACCAATGAGGTGGGGAGATGTCTGATGGGTGAATAACCACAAACCTACATCGATCACCCCAATTGTTACATGTCCAGGGCAAGTTCCATCTGAGCGGTGGCTCCCCAGAAAGATTTTCCCCTTGGCGATGATCTCCCATCTCCCAGGTTTTGATGTAAGGGTTCGTGTCCCAGGTGACTAATAGTGAGCCATTTGTGACCGAGCGTTCTCTTGACAAGGATCTAACACAGAGGACCGGCAAAGCCGGGCGGTCACCCTTCCGTTTTCCTGAAGTCAGCTCTCCTAGAACTTGAGGTCTGATCGTGGACGCCCTGCAGATTGTTTGAACATGTGGCACTTCTCCAAGGATGTGGGCTCCTTAAGGAAGCTTTTGGAGGGGGCAAGTTAAAGACAAAGCTTGGGGGAACAGATAGGATTGTCAAAATCTTAAAGCCTGTCAGGAAGGAAAAGACAAACAGGGGCAACGTCTGGGTGTCCTTTGGTCAGAACACATATAGTCCCAGGACTAGAGAACTCAAGGCCCTTGGGATAGAGTTACTTCTAAAAGTCAAACACAGGGCACAGAAGTCAGCAGAGATTGGAAACATCATTCATGGAACTGAATACATATAGCTCGGATGTACAACTGGTCTCATGTATGAAAAAGTTCAGCAGCAATTAATAGAATTGCAGAACTCTGTGTTTCTTTTTCAAACATATATTTACTGAGCCCCTTGTGCATACCTTGTGCATATGTCAGGTACTGGGGAGATGATGATTAAAATGTGTACCCTGTCCTTCAAGGTCATGCAAGCAACAGGAGGAGAAAGGTACATAAACAAAAGGATAGTGTGGTGTGAACAGTAATGGGAGTATAAGAAGTGATTAACTCTCCCAGGGGGTCAGGAAATGTGTCACAGCTGAGGGGCTGTTTGAGCTGGGTTTTGAAGAATGAGTAAGAGTTTACCTCATGAATAAGTAGAAAGAACTCAAAATTGTAGCATTTTTTTAAATGTTTTGATTGATTTTTTAGAGAGAGAGGCAGGGGGAGAGAGAGAGAAACATCCATGTGAGAGAGAAACATCAATCAGCTGCCTCCTACACGCCCCCTACTGGGGATCAAGCCTGCAACCCCGGCTTGTGCCCTGACCGGGAATCAAACCAGGCCCTCTCAGTCCATGGGACAACACTCAAAATCCACTGAGCTACACTGGCTGGGCCAAAATTGTAGCATATTTGTTCCTATTCCCCACAGGCTTTTCCTGTAGTCTTGGAAACTGTAGAACTGAACTAATCCACTCATTCAAATGCTAAAACACTGTGAGTTTAATGGTCATTTTCGTACCCACAAAAGGAAGTGCAGGCAGGGGAGCTGTTCTTTTAGGGACAGGATGCCCTAGGAGGATTCCCATTCGAATAGGGACTGAGGAACCAGATCCAGGAGAGAAAACCCTCCGAGGCTGTAGTCCTGGATGTTGAAAGCGCAGTGGAAATTTACAGACAGCCCCACCCCCTTTCCGCTCCTTCCTGCGGACTTCTGGGTGTGATGGGAGGATTTCGTAACTCCGGGACGTGCTGACAGACGTTCTGCCGCCCCCAGAGACTCTCAGCCAAGCCCAGAGTGTGTTCAGACCAGCGAGGAACAAGCCCTCGCCTCTCTGCATTGTTTCTTGACATCCCCATCCGTCTTAATGAGGCATACGAGACCATCCCTGGACTGTGCTTTTCCATTTTCTTTCTCCATGACAAGTAGAATTAGAGGTGCCGATTGAAAAGGCGCTATCAGATAAATAGGACAGGAGAAATCGGGAATTTTACGGGAGACAAAGCATATAAGGAAAAGTTCTGGATCACTGTTAATCCTGTAAATGATGCCTATACATTTCTATTCCCAGAAGCAGTCGATTTATGTATTAAACGGTAATATAATCCAAGAAACACCAAACATGGGGACTCTGGGTGACTATCACCATCTCCCCTTCCTCTCGGGAGGGATGAGGTCAGGAATCTTGCTGGCCAGCTTCTTCTTGGGCAGTTTCTGAAGTCAGTAAAGAGGATTCCTGAGCAGGTCAAACCTTCCGAGTTTCCCTTTGCCCTAACATGCCGAAAGCCTTCATTTTAACCATCAGGATCCTCGAGCTTACACACAGGTTTGCAGGTTGCTTTTTTAAATGGTCACCCAGGATTCATTCAAGAAGCATCTATGGGCCCTGGCAGTCTGGCTCAGCACTTAGAGCGTCGGCCTGCAGACCAAAGGGTCGCAGGTTCCATTCCGGTCAAGGCGAGTAACGGGGTTGCAGGTTCAATCCCCAGCCCCGGTCAGGTTCGTGCAGGAGGCAGCCAGTGGATGTGTCTCCCTTGCATTGATGTGTCTCTCTCTCCCCCCCCCACCCTTCCACTCTATCTAAAATTCAATGGAAAAATATCCTCAGGTGAGGATTAAAAAAAAAAAAAGAAGAAGCACCTAGGAGAACCTGCCATGTGCCCCACAC